GGGGGGGGAGCAGAGATGGCTCTAGCTGCATTAAGGGCAGGGAAACCGTACAGATGGGTTCTAATCCTTCCTTCAAGAAGATGGCAGACACATTTTTCCACCTCTGGGGCTTGAGGCAAGAAAAGATGCATTTTGGTTATTGTGGGTTGTAAAATAAACTTTCTAAGTTTGAATAAATAGAAAATGGTAAAACGGCTTTAGGTATTTTGACTGGAGAGAGAGTGGAAACTGGTGGCCGTGGCACATGACTGAGGAAAAAATATAAGGGAGTGATATGAAAAATTACCATGAAATAATATTGAGTGGAAAATGCATCTGCACATGGGGCTGTATTATCTAGTAATATCCTAATACTACACAGCACAAATGCCAGCAGATGTGTATAGTAAAAATTTTCTAAGATTAACAAACACAGTGGTTCAAATACATCCTGTTTTAATAGGCATATTTAACATTTTCTTCTTCTCCCCTTTATACAAGGTAGTAAAAACTATAATTAGTCACTGGGAGAAACATCCTGTCATCACGAAAGTTACTCTTTTTGCTTGGTTATATCTTATTCATATTTGTTTCTTGACCATACAATGTGGGGGATAAAGGAGAGTTAAATACAAATATACTTCTATTTCTACTTTTCAAATGTTTTACAAATTTTTGTCTCCTCTTGCATAGTACTTCATGTGTACTTAAACTTCATAATTTAAATGTTGATTAGAGAGCTATATCCATACTAGAATATATTGATAAGTTTATCAGTTATGTTGCTCAAACATTCTAGATACTAAAAGATGTTTTTGTCTTACTCATTTCGTAATTGATACACTGTTGTATTGACCACAAAACTATGGGTACTCCTTTTGATATTTTTCAAATTCACAGATGTGTGCTCTCACAAATATTGAACATATATGATGTAAATATGTGTGTGATATGTATACTTGTGTAAAAATATAATCCATGTTTTACAGAGCTGCGAATGAACAAAATCATAACAAATAGCATGAACAATTATCAATGATTAGTTACATCTATAATTAAAACTATTATAACATCTAGGATGAGAAGGTTTATCATATTTTGGTATTGATAAGAGTTTTTACCTTCAATACTACTAAAGCTCCACCAGTGTACATAAACATGATTTTATTTAGTTTCTAGTTAATTTTGGGTGTTTTTCACTGCTAAGGGATATTTTATTAACAACCTAGGGGTATATTTCTTAAATAACATTTCAAAGAAGTTGTCGTTGGACTGGTTAGATCTTTCATCACGGGCTGGTAAACAGCAGGTTTCTGTTCTGCTTCTGCTACAGTCATTTCACTGTAGAATGTCTCTATCTTACATCAACAAACTGTATGTCCTCTTTCATCTGCCCCTCAACCATGTTATGTGCTTCCTCTTTCATCTTAATTTTAATCAGATATTTATTTTTAAGTATATGTGTGCCTAATCATCAAGTTTGCAGTTTTCCTTAAGAAAGAACTGTTTTCTTTTTCTTTTCTTTTCTTTTTTTTTCAGACAGAGTTTATCTGTGTAACAGCCCTAGCTGTCCTGGAGCTAGCTCTTGTAGACCAGGCTGGCCTTAAACTCACCTTGTGATCTGCCTACCTCTGCCTCCTGAAAGCTGAAAGGGCAGTGTGCTACACCACCACCCAGCTAAGAACTGCAAATTTTTTTTTTTGATTTCTCACTTTTGTTAGTTCTTTGAGAGAGTCCTACAGAGGATTTTGCTCATATTTATCCCTTCCCACAACTCCTTCCAGATACATACTCCCTTTCCTACTTATCCAACTTCATATCTCTCTTTATCTTTAAAACCCATCAGGTACAGTTTGTGCTCAACTCACTTTTGGGGCGTCCCTTTAGCAAGAATGAGTCTCCCTCTCCCAAAAACTATCAAGTGCCAAAACCTCCCTAGAAGGTTAAGGGGCTTTGTGACGACCCCCTCTCATTTCATTCTAGGATTTTTCCTGGCTTAAACCTCTACAGAGTTTAGGCTGCTGCCACAACCACTCTGAGTTCACAAGTTCCTCCCTGCTCAGCTGTGTTTCCACTGGGTCCATGCAGTCATCCAAAACCTCTGTCCCTTAAATTTTTTTTTCTTCTCGTCTTCTTAAAGTTTTCCTGAGAATAAGGAAAAGACTAGAGATGACTTTTCTCTGCTGGTAGCATGCCCAGCATCTTCCAGCACTGTAGAGTTAGCCAGTGGGAATGGAGCTTCAAGGTCAGGTCAGTACCAGCTGCTGCCGCAAGTTCAAGTATGCAATGTCTCTCTCAAGTTCTGGAAGGAAACCAAAAGCACTGGCAATAGCTTGTAGAATGTGTCTTGGTGTATGGATGTGTATTTATGTGTTTTCAGACAGTATTTTGGGACCTCACCAATCAACAACTCCAAAGTAAACTATTCCTGACACTAGAATTCTTTTTTGTTAGCTACTGGTTTCTAATAGGATCACAGTAATTCATTAAATGGAGCATAATTACATTTAAACCTTTTTTACATAGGTACACATTTATTTTATAAAAACATATACAGTATTAGTTTCCATATAATTTTTGAAAGGTCTTTAGAATTAGCTATTCTAATTACATATTCCCTCCACTATTCTGCCCCCACACTCTCCAACCACACTTAACCCTACTGTTCCAACATGCCACTTTGCCCCTTTACACCACTTCATTTTTTCCCCTTTTGCTTAAAGCACCACTTACAAATTATAGTTTTCCTTCATTGTTCATCAGGTCTCATGCCAGTACAGTATAAAACACAGTGCAATGTTTTAAAATCCCACATCCTTTAAATTTTTCAACATTTTAGAGAAATCCAAAGTCTCTTTAAAATTCTGAGGTATCCTAAATGTAATTATAAACTGCTGTAAAACAAAAAGTGAGGCAAATACTTTCTTCATCCAAGGGAAGAATCTGGGTATAGGAACAATTGAAAAAACTTTGTAACTTTGGGATATAACAGCTATTCAGTATTTAGAAATTAATGAATTATTGTGGAAACTTACAAGATAATCTGGAGGGAAGTGCAGATGATGGAGGCCTGGCTTGGAAACTGCAGAGAGAAGGTTGAGTGTACTCTAAAGAATATACTGAAGCGTCTAAATGTTTTGAATTACAACTCTGTGATTGTGGTCAGCTGGGACTGAAGAATTGGCTGTGATTAAGAAGAGATCAGCATTATTGAGGAGTACTCTGGGAAGTGTCTTCTCACCCTCAGTACACAGAATTTAAATTGTGGTCCAGAGTAAGACAATGCTGTACTTTATGCTGACAACACAACTCTGTAATGTGAAAGACTCATCCAGGTGGTACTGGTTTTGGAGGCATGAAGGGACCATAGGCAAAAGCTGAGGCTTGCCAATGTGAAAGCTCATGAAAGGCCATTGGTGAAGATAGAACCCAGGTGCAATGGGGACCCCAGTATTTTGAGTTGTCAGTAATGTGGGATGACCACCGGGATAGCAGCAGGTGTAGAGAGAGGTGTCCTAAGCATAGGAGAAACACTGTGTGTACTTTGATGAAAAAGCAGGAGAAATGGAGCTGCCAAGGCCCTTTGGAAACCAGAGAATCTTTTACACTGTTGAATTTTGGTTCTGCTTTGATTTCAATGTAATTATGACCTGGTTATCCCCTCTTGGAATAGAAGGTAGGCAACTTGTTTTTCATTTTGTAAGAGTTCACAGTTGAGATATTTTAAATTTTTAAAGACTTTGAAATTTTAGAAAGACTTTGTATATTTTTTGAGAGAATTTTGGTATTTTAAAAAGATATTGGGCATTTTAGAGAGACTCTGGGTGTTTTAGAGATTGACCGGGTGTTTTGGAGAGAGATTGGATATTTTAGAGATGCTTTGGAATTTGGAAGAGAATTTGGGTGCTTTAAAGAGACTGGACATTTCAAGTGTTTAGCTTTTAAGCAGTGAGGCTGAACACATTGATATCCAGAATCTGATGGGCATAGATCGGCATTGACACAAATGTACTAAATTGTGTAATTCTGGAAATTTTATTAAGTTATGGTAACTGTCTAAATTCAAAAGCAATATGACTTCAATAACAAAACAAATTTTATGTTCTCAAATAAGTAGAACCCACAAAAATTATACATTGTTTCTGTCATCACATATTGGGTTGTGTTGGAAACAGTTGTGTTTTCACAAGTACCAACCGAAATAAAATCTTTTTATTGTGATTTTATTCTGGGGTCTGGAGATCAGTATTGTATGAAAATTAGGATGCTGCTCTGAAGAAGGGGGTTTGACTGTTGAGAACCTCTTTTCATCTCCTCCTCGGATATGTAGATGATCTGTTTTTTAATGTCTTAGGGCTTACAGACTATGTCTTTTTCTTCATACTCTTCATTTTCCCTCTCTTGTGTGCTTGTGTGAACATTCTGTTTATCCTTGGGTTTCATTGAGCATGGATGATCTTCAATTTTTCTAAAAAAAAAGAAGCAATTAACAGGCCTAGAAATTAAAATCCAATTATAGAAATGTCCATACAGGCATGATTCCTAAACTAAAATAATATTAATTGAACTATTGGACTCTTTGCATTCCCTGAAGGTTCTCAGGAACTATGGAAACTGTTGATGAGCTATAAAAGAGGACATTCAACCTGTTGGGAAATTTCCTGAAAGCAAATTTTTAGTTGCTTCTAATTTTCCAATTTTTGTTATTTTTTTTCTTTACAAATTTATCTGATGAGTGTTGAAAGACCCGCGGATATAATAGTAAATTTAATTATACTCCTATTTAGGAGCATAAAATTAGTAGGTTCTCAACAAGTGATTGAGTCATCTAGTCACAGGGTTTTTGACTCAGTAATGATACAGGTTTCCACTCATACATGACTTAGATCAAATCACCAATGGATGGTTAATCCCACATTTATGTCACGATTGCACCAGTGAGCATGTATATCTAGACTGGTTGCTAGTGTTCCCCCAAAGATCCACAGCTGAATAAGTTTTTTTTTATTTTCTTCCTCCAGTATTGTGCATAGTACCTTCCAGAATTAGAAAATCTATCCAATAGGGACAAAAGCTTCCAGGTGAGTACCAACACTGTTGGTTTTGTGACTCAATAATGTGGTGTCTTCTGTAATAGATTCTTACCACAAAGTTTTGACATATAACCAAGAACATTGTTCATAGTGTATATATTGGGCGTCTATGAGAAATGACTGGCCAGTAATTTCAAGAGAGCAAATCCATTCATTCCTAGCACTAGGTATTTTGTTAACCTGTAGAAACATTGTTGCCTCATTATGGAGTAAATTCATGTAAATTCTTGACAGATAGATAGAATATATATATGTATATGTATATATACCTATAAATATGTATTAGGAAGTTTCTACAGTGATACATTTCCATCTCAGTTTTTAGAAATATAATTAGGGTTGCTTACTTCTTTGTCTATTCCTTCTACTACCCTAGCCTCTCATCAACCACCCCATTTCACTCTTAAGTTTTCTATATAACGAAAATTATATAGAAAAAAGTGAGAATACCTTTCCAAACAATGAAGAAAAAATTTGACACATCATAAACCTTGACAATAGGAACATGTTTTCTATATTTTGAAACATATGGTCTCAGTAATAAAAATAAACATAAATGGAAGAGTGCAATTATTCAAGTATTTCCTATATATTTTAGGAGACAGGAATTTTTTAAATAAATTATGAAGCTATTAAAGTCCCTGGAATGTTTTAAGCATGACTTGTCATTAGAAAACTGTGTCTATGAACAAGTATGTATCACTAAGTCAAGTCTGAAAGGATAAATCAAGAAACCACCGACATAAATCCATCCAATAAATTCTAGGGTGCTGCTCTGAAAAACATGTAGATGTTTGGGAGATTGACAGTAACATCAACACAAAGGACCCATAGAACACAAAATCTAGAGCTCAGGAGAGAAAGGATGCTCCTGAGGAGTGTTTTGGCTAAAGCCTTAGTGGACAAGGGTCAGTGGCTCACAAGGGCCATGTTACTTCAGGCATTGTTTATCCAGGATGAATCAGATGCAGTCCATTTGCATATAGGTCACTTCAGATTGGGAAAAATCAGACTCGCACTGGCTGATATTCAGGAATGAAGCACTAAATAAGAATAGAAAAAAGACTCAGGATTTTAACACTCATAGCCCAGACTCTAGAAACTGCAGCAATGACTGATGCCAACACTTTTCTTCCCCCACAACTGCCACTGGCCTAAGTCACCTAACATGGCTACTGGGGAAGAATTTCCTAGACCTGTTTATTGATACAGGAGTTCTACATCCATTTTGGACAGTGACACAGTTGTATTAACTGTTTTTCTGCCACATGCAATTATAAACATTATCAATTGGGGTCATTCATTAATACAGGAAAATCCTTGTTTTGGAATTGTCTATATATGTGAGCAATCATATGTCCATTTTTATCTTTTAGGATTGTCCATAATATTAGAGATAATGAGTGAGTACAAGAAAATTGTTCTTCTAAAAGGATTAGAGTGTATGGAAGACTACCACTTTAGAACAATTAAGTCCTTACTAAAAAAAGAACTACACCTGTCTGAAAATATACAAAATGAGTATGACAGAATTCAGATTGCCGACAAGATGGAGGTGACATTCCCAAAAGATGCTGGACTCAACAAACTGATAGAAATTTGTCAAGAAATTAATGATCTTAGAGATCTTGTTGAAAATCTTAAAAAAGAGAAGGCAAAAGGTAACAAGGGGAGCCCCCCCCCCACGCATCCCTTCCCGACCCTTCCCAAATGTCTAGCTCCCTGCAGTGATCAGAGCTGATATGTCCCATTCCCATTGTGTGCCATAGAAATTATAGGGGTTAAAGTGTTTCAGATGTCAGTTACTTGAGGATTTCAAGGAATCTTTCTTAGAAACAAGCTTGACATATTTTCTGGTAGACATCTTTTGCTTTGGAGGTAAATAAAATAAAATGCTGTTGTTGGGATAGATTACAATAACCAACTGCCGAGTTCTCTGGCAGAAAGAGCTGGGTAGAGCCAGACCAACTGGACACTGGACTCTCCCTGGGGCTGAAAGGGATGCTGAGTGTCACTACTCAGCCACCCTCCCCCCTGGGAATGGGTGGGGGGAGAACACACCCACTGAGTATGGAGTCTGTGGAAGCAGAAACTCCTTTATTGGTATCAAGCAGGCACTTATATAGGGTGGTGATGGGGGTGGAGAAGCCGGGGATAGGCCAAGGCAATGTAAGAAATGGAGGTCCAAATTCTACCACATTTATGGTTGCTGGTCAGAGGCAGGTGTAGGTCGGGTAGTCAGAAACATGTTTCCAAACTCTAGCTAGGCTCAGGAAGTTACACTAGGCCTCACACCAATTCAAGTTAGGCTCAGGAAATTACACTGGTTCTCACACCCAGGCCTCATGAGGCCCAACATTCAACATGTTGGAAAAACTAGAAAATGATAAAGTAAAAATTTAAAAAAAGCATTTAAATAGCACAAATTTAATACTTTAAACAATATTGGATATACTGTTACACAACTCTGACCTGAGAATTTAGCACAAGGAATCTCAGTCAATGAGATCTCCAGATTGAGAATACCCTGAGTTGCATATAAAGATATATCCTCAATATAAAAGTAAAATACAATGTTACTATGTATTTATATCAAATATCAAATCATAATTCTTTTGTGTTTTCTATGATTTGGAATTATCCTCCTTAGAAATAACCTAACGCTATTATTATAAAAGCATCAGGTTTATAAAACCAGTCTGTGGGATAAGATTGTTGGCACAGGCTTGTACTGACATAAACAGAAGTTCCCAGGATGGAGAAGCTGAGTCCACTATGCCTGAGATGAGTAAAGAATCCCCTGAGGTAGTGCCTGTATCTGACTTGTTATCATTGCTGACTTTCTGGCCAGGTAGAGCCTCTGCAGCAGAAGAAAATAAACACACAGACACAAGAAGAGACTAAATAGTTATTAAAATTGTTACATAATATTTGATTGCACTTTCCACCCTGAGATTGCATTATTTACTGAAAAGAAAACTGTTTCTAGGTTTTCAATGGCTCAGCCCTAGCACACACCTTTAATCCAAGAGCTTTCAGGTTGAACATTGTAAACAGGTTAAAACAAATTCAACCGCATGCCAAGAGATGGAGCAAGCAACCAGTTGACAGGAAGTGAACACAGGGTTACTAGGAAAACAACCATAGAGAGTGGGAGGAAGTCAGGACAATGGATAGAAATGGGTAGGAAGAAGCACAGGAAGCTGACATGAGAGACATTCAGATTGAGAGGTTTTGGTTTGAGACAATGAAGGAAAAGGGGTTTATGGTACATCAGTGGAATAGGAAGGTCAGCTGGGTGCTTTCTCTGCCTCTGTGAGCTAGCAGGCTTTCACCCCAACATCTAGCTTCTGAATCTTTATTGGTAAACATGAACCAGAGAGGTTTTCTTAAAAACAGCATGAAATTGTCTTTCTGTAAAATCACTAATGAAATGGAATAAATTACCCGTTTCATTTTTTAAAAAAAGAAAGACAAATAATTCTGAATGAGCTTCAGCCATATTAAACATTTCCCTGGATTTATTGTGTTTTCTCTATCACTGTAGTTAAAAAGCCAAATAAAAGAAAAGTAAAAACTGCAATGAAAAAAAGGAAGCAAGAGGAACCCAGTAGTTCCCAACCTCTTCCCACTGATAATGAACCAAACAAGAATAAGCCCTCTTCAAAGGTAAGGTAGCTAATCTCCCACCAAAAAGTTTTTTTTTCAAGTTCTTCCCTTCTTAATTCTTATGAGAGATGTAGCACTCTATCTAGTCCAAGGCTCTGTAAAAACAGAAATCCAAGTCAACAAGTTCATAGTGGCCCATCCATTGTTCTGTGCCGAGTTTATCATGTGTTCTATGTTGTGCAGTAAAACCCCCAATATCAACCAAAAAAATCACTACGTGGCTCTTTAAAGACCATTTACTAAAATAGCAGTTGCTTTGGGATAAGGTTTTTAAAAAGATTAAGCATAATATGGACTTTATAATTCTATATTTAATACTCTTCTGCCTCCACGGGGATGAATATGGTGATGTAAATGTAATTTTTCTACTCCTCTATGAGACAATCAATATGTCTTAGCTAGGGTTTTCATTACTCTGAAGAGATGTCGCTTCTCACAAAATGTCCACAGCAACTCTTATAAAAGAACACATTCAATTGGGGCTTGCTTACATCCAGAGTGTTATTAATATTATATTATACTATTAATATAATAATTGGAAACATAGCAGCATGAAGGCAGACATTGTGCTGGAGAGATAACTGAGAGTTCTATATCTTCACCGGCAACAGTAACAGAGAGTGAGGCTGGGACTGGCTTGACCACCTGAAGCATCAAGTCCCACCCCTCAGTGACACACTTCCTCCAACAAAACACACCTACTCCAAAAAGCTCATACCTCCTAATAATGACACCCCCTCGTGACTAAGCATTCAAATCTATGAGTCTATGGGGCAATTCTTATTCAATCCTCCATACTATACAATCTATCTGTTAAGACTGAGTTATGCACAATGACAAAAAATGTGTTATTAGAATCCAGTAACAAAACAAAATTTCTTATAGTCTTAAAAATATGCTTTATTTAATTCTAAAGACATTCCTAAGGGCTAGGGATAAAACTGTATAGAAAAGCACATCTTAGCATGTACAAAGACTGGGGTTCAATTTCCAACACACAGGAAAATCAATAAAGAAAGACGAACATTGTTCTTTCAGAAAAAGAGTAAAACGCCCACAGAAACTGAAGGCGGCAAGAAAAGGAAGCATACCCAGGAGCAGAGTCAGCTTCCAGAAGCTCCAGAAAGCAAGATGCAAAAAGATGAACATTGTCTCCAGACTCCTCATAAGCCTCCACCAATACCACCCAGCAGTTCCTCCAAGAAGGTACCACTTTTATATTCTCAGTGCACCTTCCCAAAGCATATCACTGGGTTCACCACAGCCTTGGAAAAACATCTCACTGATCCCCTACTTCAGGGTTTTTCCTCATATTATTAATTATTAAATAGCTTATTAAGTTATCAAATCATGTATCACAGCCTCCGTGGTTTTGAAAAGGTTAAGTATTTATGAAATGATTTCTAATGTTATCAACCAACTTTCTGCTTAGGGCTCAGAAGGAAGTATAGAGGAGACAGTCAGGGATAAACATAGGACTATGTTAATCCCCATTGCCTTCTTTCTTCTCAGTCCTTTTCTCTTTGCTGGTGACACAACCACAAAGATTATTTTCACCATTATGTGTTTCTTTCAGCAGGTGTTTTGATACATACTGTTTCCATGCTTGGAAGTATTTTACTGTTGTTCATTCCCTAACCAAACACTATATAACTGTAATGATCACTTTTGCTGAGAGTCAGCTTCAGACCACTCCCACCCCACCAAGGCATAAACTAAATTCTTCCAGCCATTCCTGTTCTATGATGGTTTACTCTTTTGACTTTTTGAGGAACCCACAATCCAGCTTCCAAATAAAGCACACACAGAAGCTTATTTTTAGTTAAGAATACCAGGCCCTAGTTTGGTTTCTTGCCAGCTTTTCTTACCTTATCCTATCTACTTTTTGCCTCTGGGCTTTTATCATTCTCTCATGTAATTCTTACTTTCACTCTTACTCTGTGGCTTGCTGGGTGACTGGCCCCTGCTGTCCCCCTCCCCTTGTTCTGTGTTCTCCTTCTCTTCGTAAATTCTCCTTCTGTTTGCATTCTCTGCCTGCTAGCCCTGTCTATCCTTGCTCCTGCTTCACTATTGGTTGTTTCGTTCTTTATTAGGACCATCAGGTGTTTTAGACAGGAAAAGAATCACAGCTTCACAGTTAATCAAATGCAGCATAAAAAAAGTCAGACACCTTAAAATAATATTAGCCAACACTTCCTCATCAAAGGGAATTGATCCTTGTTCCCATTTTGATGACTTCTTAATAAAATTACAACCATAACCTAGAAAGAACTCCTCATCTAATCTATTAATCATATATATTCGGCAGGCATGTATTTTGAGACCTGGACTGTAATTTATACTAATCTTCTTATTTGATACAATTGTGTTGTACATGCCATGTGACCAACATTTAATCTTTTTAACTGGCAGAGTCCTGATATTTGCATGGAAATGCCTTAGGAACGTCTAATTAACTGTGTTTGTAAATGATGACAGCAATATAATTCAAAATGCACACAAGCCTGGAAAATAGACTACAGTAGTAATTTTAACTAGAATGGCATCAGCTTCATAGCAATTGTTGCATTAGAAATGGCCATTGCAATTATTCAAAGGGATATGCATACTAACTTACTTTCACTTTTAAAGCAAAATTTTTAAATCTTTATAATTTGTACTTTAAAGATTATTAAGTGTAATGAAGACCCTAACTTGATCAATTGCCTGAAGTACAAGTACTTCTCACATATGTAGAAGTTTGATTTAACTAAAGTTATGGCTATTTTAAAGTCCTAAACAAGGGTTTAAATGGGTCTGGATGGGCTTCATGCGTGTGAGTCCAGTACTCTGTCAACTGAGATACATCCGATCCACCAAAATCTATCTTTGTGGTAAATTTTTTAGGATATTTGTCACACAATTTCTCTAAGGTCACCTGAAAAGGTATAACTGTGTATGTGTGGTGGGAGAATCCCGTGTGTACAATAAAAATGAATATATAATGAATTGGAAAGTCTACATGAAGAAAAATATAGAAATGGCCAATTTTATCTCATGCTTCCTTTCCCATAAAATAACACTAAGAGTTGAATAAGGTCAAGTAATATTTGGACAGTTTTGTGAGATACTTGAGCTAGTATTCCATCCTAGACCAGTGAAATTTCAATACCCGTCTTTTAAGAGGAGTTGTAATATCGATCACTAAGGATGGAACCTCAGTGCTAGAAATACTAACTATGTTCTAATATACTTCCCTCAGCCCAGGAGAAAGCTGACAGGTTTGAAAGTCCTCTTTTCAAAAGAGAAAGTGAAAGGATGTACTTGGTCTTATTTCTAAAAACCATTAAGCAGTATTAAAAATATCTCAATCATATTTTCTTTTAGAAACAGAAAAGGACAAGTATCAAAACCCAGAGGACTTTTAAAACAGAGATTTCCCAGGAAGAACAGCAGCTTCCACAATTGTCAGAAACCAGCAACTCCTCAGCTGCCAATGAACTCCAAAATTGTCGGGGACTCTTGACAACAGCTTCTAGCAGCCTTCAGACTCCTCAGACACCTCCATGCCTTGCTTTTAAAAAGGCTCAGGGCTCTCCAGCACCACCCTGCCAGAATTTTCTAGCATCTCCAGTATCAGACTCTAGCACCCAACTGACCCAGCCCAGTGGTGTCAAGGCTCCTCAGGCACCTTTAGTAACAACATCTGAAAGTCTCCTGGCTTCATATATGTCTCCACCAACAGCATCCAAAAGTCTCCTGGCTCCAAGGGGGTCTCCAGCAACAGCAATCAGTGCTCTCTATGACGCTCTGGGGTCTCCAGCAACTACAAGCAGCAGTTCATGCAAAGTAATGGCTTCCTGTTCTCAAAGTATAATGACAAAGATTAACACAAGCCTGCAAGACTTCTTCATTAATCTATATGGACACATAATCTTTTACTTAAATAATCACTATTTTTATTGTGTATAGGTACTGATCTGTCCCTACATTCAATTTTAGAATACATTGTATGTTCTACTCCGTTAAGAAAATGTCTGACTCAGTGATCACATGATCATGCCTACTCAAAGAATATGCTGAGTCACATGCTTATTTAATTTTGCACATTATACCTTTTATGAAGGTGTTGTTTTCAGATTGTAAATCACTGCTGCAATTATATTGGAAATGTACTTCCTGATGTTAGAACACATCAGTAGGTAATCAGAGTTAAAACCCATCACCCACAGGGTGAAGTCTGCATGTTTCCAAGTCAAGGGTCAGAGAGTGCTTCAGTTATAGCTGCCTCCCTGCCCTGGTAGCCAGGTCAGCGGTGACTGTCCACGTACTTCCTCCTTCAGTTCTACAGTGTTGCCTCCATTTCAAAGTGCTCTCCTTATGCTTAGATATGGAGGAGGATACTGAGAAGGTAGGTGATCAAAGTAAAATGACCTCATGAATATTTTCAGGTCCCAGGATTTTCCTCCATGTCTGTATAGAAAAAGAAGGGGTACTAGCCTGAATCCTTTCTGAGTATAAATATTTCAGGGTATCTTCCTAGACTGCCTACCTATCCCTATTACAAGAGAGCTCTAATATTTAGTCCAGGTTTTGTAATCAAACATTAGCAAATGTTTCTAGAATAACAACTTAACTAGAGCTTGGAGCCTTTGTGTTCAGTCCCCACAAACATAAGTATAAACTCTTAACCTACCAAGTAATGTTTATATTAACTAGAATAAGTAGATAATAATTCAGGTAAATATCCATTTTTCACTATATCTAGATTATAGTATGGCAATCATTGTTTAGATGTTCTCCACTGTACTCAGTGGAACTGTGCCTTATGCTCTGTCTGAATTACACATGGTTATATTGTGTGTGTTTTATATAGACACCAAGGAGAAGAAACATACCCAAGGAACCATCTAAGGAAGAAGGTTACCATCGAGATCCCAAAGAAGTGATGGTTTTGAAAGTAACAGAACCATTTACTTATGATTTGATTGATGACAAAAGGATGTTCCATGCCACAGTAGTGACTGAGAATGAATTCTACAGAGTGAAGATTTTTGATCCAGTTCTAATGAACAAGTTCATTCCAAATAAGATCATTGCCATATCAAATTATTTTGGCTCAAATGGGTTTCTGGAAATATACGAAACTTCCTGTGTGTCTGATGTAGACAAGAACAGAAAAATGGATATCTCAAAAACACTGAGGAAAAGAGCCAATGCGACTCCTAAAATAAGGGATCTTTTCTCACAGGCACAGGGGACATATGTGAGTGGAGAGTTTGTGGTATATAAGGTAAGCCATTGCGGTACTTGGGAAATTCCTTTTGCACCTGGGATTTTAAGTTTTAACTTGTCACTGGAATTTGCTCAACTTATTTAACATAGGAAGTAACTGCTCTTTATATCAGAAAGAGATGAGAACGGTTTCCTTATTTGGGGATTGAGGGAAGCTCTTATCATTCTTCTCCACAAGGTAAAACCATGAAAAAAATCTTTAGAAATCGATTCATCAAAAACTTTGGCATTTTCCTGGCTGTGACAATCAATTATATCCATCTTATTCCTAGACACTGTTCAGTTTATAGCACACTTTCCTGTTAGATTCGATATCTTTGATAGCTTCCATGCCCACATTATTGGCAACTCAGCTGTGAAAAGAACCAAACTCAAAGCCTACATACAGTTTGAGATGATGAGAATAAAAAGCAAGAAACTATTCTGGCCCACACTGAAGTCATGACCAACAAGCCAAGATTATTTTTTTAATATGTTCTCATTATAATATTCTTTACATTGTATCAAGATTTTTTGATAGGGTGATTAATGTTTTAAATAATGAAAGGAAGAACAGGTTAACAGTCTAGTTTAATTTCACAGTTTATAATTAGGCACAGCAAAAGTGAGGAAATTCAAGGAAATCTGTGACTTTCCAGTATTTTTTTTAAGTGCCAATGTACCAATTCATTAGTATGCTTGTTAAGTGTATGATTTCATAATTCATTATTTATAAATCAGTCATGGCTTTTTACTTTTATCTATGCTGTTTTTGACTGCTCTGGTGCATTTGGTTACACAATTAATAAGTAAACTAAGTGGGGCATGAACTTAAATGCCAGAACTAAAAGCTGTAGATTTAATCCATGAGAGGCTAGGAAGGAGTAGAGGGAACAATGTGTGCACTGAGCAAATGTAATCCATTTAAAAAGGAGGTGAGTGTCTGTCTGTGTGTGTGTGTCCATGTGTGTGTGGGGCGGTGTGTGTGTGGGGGGTGGCGAGTGAGTGTATCAGTCTTTATGTCTGTCTGAATGTTAGTTTCTATTTGTATGTTTGTGTATTTGTTTCTCATACTATTTCTTATTTCTGTTAGTGTGTTCCTTTTGTTTCATTCTTGTTGGTTTTCTTCTTAATTCACCTGTTTGTTTTTTTAAGAGAGAAAGAAGCTGTGGAGTTGGAAATATAGGGAAGTGAGGAAAATCTAGGAGTAGGGAAGGAAAAATTATGATTAGATTAGGTTTTATTAAAATAAACTTATTTTCAATAAAAATTAAAATATATTAAATAAAAAAGACTAATAGTTGTGTTTCTCAGACTGACAATGAGCCACAAGTAGCCTTTCTTCTCAGGCCTCCTAGAGATGCCTAAGAAACCTGCAATGGCAACTAAACGGTTATTGCTGTATTATTCTTGTTTTCATTTATTGTCCCTTAAGAAATCTCAGAAACTCTTATATGTTACCATAGTACTTAGATAGATACTCATTTTTTCCTAAAAACACCCAGCAGAAGAAATCATCAAGTAGGTAAAACATAAGAGTGGCTTCCAAGGACTACAGTGGTGACCCAATCATTAAGGCTAGGCCTACAAGGCTTCAAGAGGGAGTTCAAAGAAAAGATTTGTTCACTAAAACATCTTAAACTCTCTGGTTCCTGAAACCTTTTTTCAGTTATTTATTTTGTCTGTGAAAGATGGGAAGAAACACAAAAGCTTTTAAAGTAGTGTGGAAGTCATGAAGGAACTCCACAAATGAGTTCTCTCTTTCTACCATGAGACCTGCTCATTGAGACCAGGTAATCAGGCTTGCCAGCAAGCCCCCTTCCCCACTGAGCCTTCTCACTGGCCCTTGTGCCTGTGATTCTAAACCTAAGAACCACCCTTGCCTTGGCAGGGACAGGTTTATGTTGACACTCTTTAATTCTCAAAGAGGTGACAAGCCTTGACATACTTTCGAAAAAGATAAATGTTAATTTGCTTTTCAGAAAACTGAGAGGGATCCCTTCATTTACTATGGAATTGAAGATGATACAGGGAAAATGGAAGTGGTAGTCTATGAAAGACTGACCAATATAAAGTGTGAGCCAGGCCAAAAACTTCGACTCGTCTGTTTTGAATTGTCCTCAAGCAAAGATAAATGGCAGCTGAAGTCTGTAAGACACAGTTACATGCAGGTGTGTGCTCTAGAATTTAATATTATTAAAAATCATCCATATATATGATTTCATACATACATATATATCGTGTACTTGACTGTTGGCATTACATAGACAATCCAACATGAGAATAAAAACTAACTTTTCCCATTTAATAATGAAATACCTTGTAGTATCTTTTAAGTAAATATTTCTGAATCATAATAAAGAAAATAAATTCTAAAGTTGTTATATGTTTAGCTAAATGACAAAAAAATGTATCTCCTTTATCAAAGCAGAGAGATAATTTGACAGGACTCAGGTTAATTAAGAATTTTGTTCATATTCTGACTCTTTGATTTTTCAAATTGAGCAAAGACTAAAACACGAAGAGCCTTGGAGCCTTCATGTATAATATTAAAATACTGTCTGTTGCAGAGCATGATGTACAGAAATCATAAGTTCCCAAGGATGCCCTGGGCTAATCAGACCACAATGTGCTAAAAGCCACAATCCTTGTCATACTTACACATTGTGTGGGATTCATTCCACACTTTAAAAAAGGCCACTATAACCATGTAAACAGAAGAAATAGAAGGGATCACATGTTCGTTCACATAGAAACACTTTTACAGCACCATGGGGTTCTCAGACCACCAGACAAAGTTTCAAACCTTTCCCCATGGCAGTTGCAACAGCAATGTCCTTTCTCCCTCCTCCCAACCTGCCTGTTCAAAGAGACTCTGCAACTCAATCTATACCTAAGGAATGATAGCTCTTTCCTCTCTTCTGGAGCTCTGTGTCATAACCGGGCCTTCCAGCTGTGTGCTCAAGTCTGTCGGAGTGACTAGCTACTCTCATAGTCCCAAGAAGGGAAAAAAGCTGACTTCAAGGACAGAGTGACATTTAAGGAGATAGACCAGTGAGAAATTGGACGTGACCCATAGGGACACGTCAGTATGAATATAGAGAATGTTTGGAGCCATTTGAATTTCACTTGATCTGACCTCATCATCTTCTTTTTTAAGGTCGTCAATGTCGGAAAGAAAGTCACTCAAGCCTGATTCAGATCAGAAAACTTGGATGCCAAGGATATGGTTTGTGGAGATAATATCCAAGTCTAGAAAACACATGTATACATGAACTGTTACAATACCATATCTATGAAAGCCAGCTCCTTTTTTATGGTTTTCCAAGACAGGATTTCTCTGTTTTGTCCTTGCTGTCCTAGAAAACACTTTGTAGACCAGGCTGGCATTGCACTCAGAGATCTACCTGCCTCAACCTCCTGAGTTCCAGGATTAAAGGCCTGGACCACCATCACCAGACCTGCCTTTAATTCTAGGAAATAGTGGTTTCTTTTATTGTTTCTACACCTTTAATGATTTAAGTTCTATGTTTTCTATCAATAACTTTATACTTATTAATCTATAAGTTTTACATATAAAACTTAAAAATAAAACCACATTTTGATAAAGAAATGATTCCTTGGGAATATCTTTTAGCCATTTGAGAGTTGCTGTAAAATCAAAAGTATAGAATACAAACTTCACATGTGATGTTAAAGACCAAGCATGCCAAAGAAGAAGTAGTCTGTGTCTACCCCAGATAACTCAAGGCATTAATAAAAGGCACAGGAGAAGGTTGAATTCAGCCTTGAATTCAGACTCCACTTGTTTGATAACCACAGTTTCACTTTCCAGACATTATCTGCATCTCCTGTGTACTTATATTCTTCTACCAATATATTTGAAGCCTATTGACCACATGGGCACCCACATACATCTGGTCTCTCTCTCTCTCTCTCTCTCTCTCTCTCTCTCTCTCTCTCCACATATATATATATAGATAGATATATAGATATATAGATATATAGATATAGATATAGATATAGATATATAACAATGAAAATGTTTGCTGCCCTTAGAAATACTTTCATGAATTATATATAATCAAATATTTCACAAAGAAAGAGGATCTGATCTAGACTAGTTCAGGTACATGTACAATAAGACAAACTGTATCCTCAAAGGGAACTTTTATGATGAATATCATGTTGTCCACCTTTCTCCTAAGTATAATTGTGTATATAATCACATAAATTACTGTGTTGAAAGGACATGCACAGGAAGTAAATGCCTACCTAATCTAATCCTGTCAGTTGAAATGAAGATCCACCCATGTCACACCCCTACAGCACCCCAGCTCATTCTCCTGCACCCCATGAATGTGGCTCCAAACAAATGTTGGGATTCCTGAGCACCTTCCTCATGTGATCACTGTTGCTCTTCACACATATTCCCGTCTGATCTGTACGGCCACTGTGCTTTGAGAAAAGTTTCAAGGCTTCTTTAAAATCTATATGAGCCTTTACCACCAAATCTTTGAATGAAAGGGCAAGGTATGGGAAACTCTTGGCTTAGATGCTGACCACCCCATATAATATGATAAAGAAACAGGAAAAAACACACCAAATGCTGAAGGTTAGTCTTGGGTTCCCGAGCTTGCAGGTTTGTATTACATTTATCTTCCTTATACAACACTTTCTCTGTAATGTCCGAACACACCCAGAGAGAAGAAAATGATAATTTTCTGTAACAGTAAGGGACAGGGAATTGTATCTTTTACAGACGTAAAGTTTTAGTTTGTATAATACGCAAATGTTATGCAACAAAGATGAGGGTACAGTAACAAATCCACCTACATTGATTAGGCTGGAACCATTCTCTGACTTTTTTGTATGAGAATATTTCTCAGGAGGTGTAAACAAGTATCTACTCACCCCAGAACAAGTTCAGATCCAATTAAGTTCAATTTTTTTGAACCAATAGGATTTATTTTTATTGTGTTTCTTACAGGAATATTGATGAAGTGTTACTTGCAAAAGCAAAAATGCCTCAAAGATAGCTATGTCACTACTTCATCCCAAAATGAGCATCAGCTCACAGTAGCCGGAAATCTGGAGCACCCTTAACAGACTGTAGACAGTAGAATGCTTTGGAGAGAGTCCTTTTCAGGTAGTTAAGGTGGTCTGAGCCCCTTCTGCACAACTTGGTTGGTCTCTAATTTTTCCAGGCACATTAGCTTGTCTGAGCATGCCTAGCAACATCCTGGATATTCTATAGGAAGGAGGACAGAATTACATCTTGTTTCAGGGATTCCTAAAACCCCTGCATTATTTATTTCTTGACCTTATTGATTTTTGTTGGAGGATGCAAGTGCCCACCATTATTGAAATATCCTGCTATCCTGCATCCTTTTGTTAATTCCCTGTGTTTTACCAATCTTTCTTCTATGATGAAAGATTTTGTTCTTAAGGAAGCTAAAGACTCCCAGATGTTTACATAAAGAATCAGTTTCTCTGTTGCCTGAACTTAATGCCCCCTCAAGCATAGAGAAAGAACAGTAGCACTGTTATAAGCTACTTTCACTTTTCCACAAAAGAGAAAATAGAACGCCTGGCACAATGTGGCACCAGTGTCACAGTGGTAACTGGCAGCTTTCTGATTGTATTTGAGGCCTGGTACACAAGAGAAAATTGATACCTAGCATTATATACCTCCTCAAAACCTCTCACCTGGGGGCCAGCAGACCCTAGGGAGAAACCTTACAAGTTATTGTCAATTTTCCTTTCAAAAAATATTTTTGTTTATATGCGCAGGTTAGTGCTACACACGGGCTTGGTTAAGAAGCTTCTGTTTGCAGGGAGATGGTACTAATACCTGAGATGCAGATGTAAAAACTGCAGGGGCCCACGGTGACTCCATTTCTCTCTCAACTCATGGACAGAGAGTTAAAACTTGTCAAGGGCAAATAACAGGTTGTTTGATTAAGGGTATGCTTACTAGATATGTTGAGTATTTAGGAGGTTATTATGATTGTTTGTTACCTGATCTTGGAGTCTTTTCCATCTAAGCTAGAGCCAGAGCACTTCCTCATACCTAATAGAAAGATTCCTATTATTGGTGCAAATAGGAAATTTCTCTTGTATGTGATGCACTCTGTATCTAGTCTACAGAAATTCTTCTCTATTAGCAAGCAGCTCAGCATCACTGTGTGGTGTGGGAGAAAATGTCCCCTGGAAACCCTTACAGAAACTTAAGATTATTCTTCCTATGCCAGTTTTTTTTAATATTTATTATTATTTTGACAGTAAAGGTCAAGCTGGTAACATGAAAAAATGACCAGTCATTTTTCCTGGTCTAGCGTCATCCCTTTGTGATTCTCTAAAACACAAAGAACCCACCCGTCTCTCTACAAGGGACGTCAGAGCCATCATACTTGATGGGAACCCATATTGACCACCTGCTTACCTGTGCCCTTCTTTGCCTCGTCCATTCTTCCTTCTCCAGAGTACTCTTAGAGCATCTGCTGCCTTCTTTCTTCAGCTCCTCCACATATGTTACCTTCATTCATAAGGACAAACAAAAACATAAACAACCAAGATCATTTATCTGTGTCATAACTAAGACCCCAACCCTTAAGGGGATGAATACAAAGCGGGGGCTCCCTTCCAGATTCTGGATTAGGCACAAACCATACCCAATGCCTGTTTTCATAGGGAGATCCCTTATTAAGCAGGGAAGATAAGTTAAAGTGGCCGCTTTCTGGTTCTGACAGAAAAACAGCAGCAAATACCTTGCAGGAACAATTTTAAAAGGAGGAAAAAGGGGAGGTCTGTGATAGAATGGGCTAGGATGCAGTGGTAAAGGAGATAGGGGACTAAGAGAAATAAAAGGGGACAATGAAGAGGGGAAGCGGTATTTGTCCTGGAAGAACAAAAAAACTGCCTGTGGATAGAGGGTAGACAGATGTCCGGCACATAGGGAAATGGCAGTTTATTAGAGTATCAGGGAAAACACCTGTTGAGATGAGGTATTCAATTTTAATTGGTCATGTAAATTAGGCTAGTCATAAAGGGCTTCTGACCTGGATTTTGTTATTCTGCCTCGGAAAGAAGTGATCAAAGAAAGGAATAGACATTGATGCTAGCTTTAGGAATGTATTCTAATGTTTTTTTTTAACAAGTCAGAGGGATT